GGTACCAGGGGCATTTCTGCAAAGGCCCCGAGGGCAGAACTGAAAAATGCAGTATTTGAAAGTGGCGCCCGAATTGCAGCATAGCGCCAGTTGTCCAAAATCCTACGGTACCAAAGGAGGGGTTTGGAAAAAGGGTGCCAGGCCGAAAACGGGATGCAACCGAAACAGCAAAAGATAGACCAGGGATCGAGCCCTGGCGAAGTCCGTAACAAAGGGGGTTTCCTGAATTTTTTGTTCATTGAAGTCCTTCACAGTGAGTGTGGGTTTAGTCTTGCTGCCATTCCAGTTGGCGGAATGTGATGCCGAATCGCTCTGTCCCCGGTATGGTTCCCATGCGGCTGAGAATGACTATACGTTTAGGCATGTCAGGCGGTGAGCAGTATGATGAGTTGTTGGAGCATCTGAGGTCCCGCCATCTTGGTCCAGCACAACAATGGATGCCTGTCTTCGTCTCGACATCGACCGATCCTGATGCGGGTTTAAATGGACGATCCTGGCCGTGGAGGAGGTTTGCAGGTGATGCGGCCGTCCAATCTACCATGCGCGTAGGTTCGGTGCAGCAGGACACACCTACGACAGTGGCGAGTTTGGGCATGCACAATGGTTGTATCATGTCGTACCCCAAGGCAATGCGTGCGAGCCTGCAGGCAAAACGCAGCGCCGAACATGCAGGGCATGAATGAACCTTTGGCTATCCGGGATGTGGTTGGCTGCCATGCTATGCAGGGTATGCGGAATTCTTGTTTGCAGTCACCACTTGCACATCATGTCGAATGTCAACCGATAGTAGTTGTTGCTATGGCCACTGTTGTGCATCCTCTGTCTGAGGGCGAGTTCAGAGACGTCCGACACTTGTGTACGGAGCTAGGATGGGGAACGCCATTGGATGTAGACGTCGGCGGTGTTGTGCCGATTGGCACATCGATGGGACTTGAGGTACATGACACAAATTTGTTACATGGCGTTCCTTCGTTTCAGTGCATGTCTGAGGGAGGTCCGATGTATACGTCTGATGCAGGGCTTGCACACGGATATGATGCTCGATATATGACCACGCCCCTACGGTCATGTGTTGATGGGTCGGGAGTCACTGCTTCTGAAGGTGACACGCAATTGGTTTGCATGCATTGTTGCCATCACGGATGGACTCTGTTATGCCCGTGGCTGCTGCAGTAGAATGTGACTCAGATTTGTGTCCTCCTGCAGTCAGCCGTCCGACGCAGGCTGTAATACCGATAGGGTGTATAGCTGGTGCTGACACAGATGCTGATGGGGTGGAGTTGTATCTTCGCCCATCCCAAAGTGGCGGTGGAGAATCGGGTTGCACTATGGTTGCAGGTTGTGCAGCATTGATGACCAATTGTGCGCGTTTTGTTTCCCTGCGGTGGTAGACGAAGGACATGAGTCACATGTGCAGGATGCTCGTGATGCCGAGCCAGATACCCATGGTCCTCCGTCTCGCACTACAGCGGGCGGTGCGGAGTTGTCGGGTCTTTGTGTCAGTTCGCAGGGCAGTGATTGCGCAAACAGGAGTGGATCGCGTACTTTGCGCATGTCTTCTGGAAGTCGTCGTGCAGATGGAGCCCCTGTCCGTCCCAGTGCATTGCAAGACATTGATAATGGTGGTCTGCACACAGGAGGCGATGAACGACCGATTGGAGACAATGAGTGGTTAGCAGTGGAGGAATACGTAGAGGGTGGTGCTGGTGACGAGCCGGAGGAGTCATCGGTTGCATGTGGGTGCATGGTCGATGGCGTAGGTGAGGGTGACTGCCGTGCATCGCAGGGTGTGCCTGGTGATTGTCTTGGCCATGACGGACACCATCAAGCGCCGCTTGTTGGTGGATCCGACACCGTTGTTGGCAATCCTGATTCGAATGGAGGTAAGACTGATGTGGAGAAACATAGTGGACCTCGCTGGGGGGAGGTCGAGACACTTCTGCTAGTCCGACTTAAATGCGAGGACAAGGTTTTCATAGGTGCAAATTCTGAGAGATCAGGGAATCCAGCACGCATAAAACGTTCATGGGCGGAAATTACAAAGAAGTTAGTTGCTGCAGGGTTCCCTCACACGCAGATGGAATGTAAAAACAGATGGCACAATTTGCACAGGTTTGATAGGAGAGTGGTGGACAACGACACACGCAGTGGCCGACAAAGTTATTGGGATATGACTCAGCGAGAGAGGGGATAGAAAGGTATGAACTTTATAATGCGAAGTGAGTGGCTTGATCTTATGAACAAGGTGGACCACAAAAGCGATGTTGTTAATCCAAGGCGTATCACAGATCTAGGAATGATCCACGTTGAAAATCGTTCAGGTGTTCGCGAAGAGGGGCGGCCGGGTGGTTCGGGTGGTGGTGGTTCGGGTGGTGGTGGTTTGGGTGGTGGTGGTTCGGATGGTGGTGCTTCAGGTGGTGGTGGTTTAGGTGGTGGTGGTTCAGTTGGTGGTGGTTTGAGTGGTGGTGGTTCAGGTGGTGGCGAACCAGGAGCTGGCTGGCGTGAGGGTGATATGGTTGGAGGGCCTGTGGCCGGTGATGCATGTGACGTCGGTGGCAAGTAGGAGGCGGTGCAAGGGGACATGCCTATAAAATGAACGCGAGCGACGCCGAGTGCAAGAGAACAAAGCATACGGAGCATCACGTCTGCAATGCGAGAATACACGTCATGTGTTAGCAAGTCAGCGTTGGATGTATGTGAGAAGCAGTTGGCGATGCAGGAGAAGATTGCGAGGGCGGACAGGAAGGCACGCCTGGGTGATGCTAACAAAATAGAGAGGAAAATCGAAGTTGGATGCCATATCCTTGCAGAGGCTATCAAGAGCTTCGGGAATCGTGACAACAACCGGCGACGACCATACATCGTACGGTCCAGTGACGAAGAATAAGGGGTGTAATGTTATCAGTTGGCATTGGAGATATATATCATTATTCGTCGACGAAGTAACTATGCAGGATCCGTTAATCGTCGGCATGCACCATTACGAACAGGGCTAACCGATGTAACTTATTTGTGCTGTAGGTGCTTGGGTTTATGTGTTGTAATTTCACAATTTTGTTCTTTTATTTTGTTAGGCACTTGTTGTATTGGAAGGATGTTTGTTGTCGCTGAACTTGTCGGTTATTTCATTCACCACCACACTCGATGCAGGCCTGTGCGTCTATCGTTCGACGGACTTTGTATAGTAGTGTTCTGTAATTGCTGGATATGAGGTTTGAATGTACGTGCACATCGAGGCGATCAAGGAGCGTGCTATGTAGCAGTTAATGTGTACCGGTATACGGGCGGTACGTTTCTCATCGTCGTTAGTGAGACTGTTCAGGTGTACATAGACATAGGTGACAGTATTCTTATAGTGTACGACCAATAGCATTGCTAGTGCATGTTGTATTGAAACAGGTCAGGCATTAGAGCGGATCACTCACACACGCACACACACACACACACACACACACACACACACACACACACACACACACACACACACATACACACACACGGGGCAACAACAACAACATTAAAAAAAAAATAAAAAAAAATCGGACAGTTATCTTGTTGAGGTTGTATGGCGGATTTTATTTCGCCTTTTTTGTTTGTACTATTTTTGGGGACAATGTCCCACAGCATCTCTGCGTCTCTCTCTCTCTCTCTCTCTCTCTCTCTCTCTCTCTCTCTCTCTCTCTCTCTCTCTCTCTCTCTCTCTCTCTCT